TATATATATATTTAATGTTGAATGAAATGCTAAATTATAACCTTTTATTAAACATTTTTATGATTTTTATTCATAATATTTTTATTAGAAATATTTAGTTTTAGCTTATTTACTTGTAGATTTAAAAAAAGTATTAGAATAAGTGGACGTTTGGTTTATAAATTTAAAATCATGATTCAGAATCATTCGTATTTTACATATGCTTTTTGTGAGAAAAAATATTATTAAAACTTATGAATCATAATTTAAAATTAAAGACGAAGACAGAAAATAAACGTATATAAAGCCATGCACTCAGCCATGCAAAACCATTCAACCCAACTCAATTTGAGCCCAGAAGCCTATCACATGAGCAGAGTTAGCCCAATTCAGTTGTGGGTCCCAGCATTCGCAGCTTGACAGCCTGACTTCAGAGTCTACGCACGCCACTTGTCCTCTCCAGGTGCCAATAAGAGTCGATTAGTGGGATCTCTTCCTCAATTATATAAGGCAGGTTTAATTCGTTAATTTAAATTTTTAATTTGAGTTAAGATTTAATTTTATGTAAAAAAATTTTATTGAGAGTTTTTTATTGTAATAAAAACTAAATTTTAAATTCGAATCGATAAAATGAACAGGATTATAATTGACTTTTCCAAATTTATTTGTGATTTTATTTTCTTTCCATTTTAGTTGTGATATTATTCTTATTTCTAATTTCTTAGATTTATTCCCTTTTTAGTTGAGCCTCAAAAACTGATAGAATTTAAAAATCAATTCATTCAAGAATTGATAGAATTTAAAAATTAATGTTTTCTTATTATTTTTAATTCTTATTTCCTTAATTTTTCTATCTTTTTGTGAGTGACACACGGTTAACGGGAAGTTGAGTTGTGACGACCCTGCTGAGTTGACCATCACTGAAAGTAACCTTTAACCTATAACTTCTGAAACTTTCAAAATCTGAGAGATTTTTTTTTATGTTACCTAGAATGCCGCAGCATTTTAAATAGGAATGCTGTAGCATTCTTTTTAAAATGTTGTACGAATGCTGTAGCAATCTTTTCTTAAAATGTTATAGGAATGCTGTAGTATTCTGTTTAAAATGTTTTAGGAATGTTGTAGCATTCTTTTTAAAATGCTGTAGGAATGTTGTAGCATTCCCTCTTTTTTTTTTTTAAACTTACTATAACGACATACATTCTGGCAGTTTACACAAACTTAGCATTATACTACAAACTTCTAAAAATACAAGTTTATGGACATACTTCTAAAAATCTTTTAAAACTTTAAGTACTGCGGAAAATGACCGCGTGCGGTATCCATTCACATTCCAACATTCGTCCGCCGCTCACCACTGCCCCTTCAAGAATTTCTGATAGGTTTCTTACCTACAACATGAACATATCTGAATGAGCTTTCGCTTAGATAGGAAGAACTATCTCTCACAAAATAACTGTAAGTTCACATGAATAAATATGCATGAACTGATTATGTGACTCTTATTATCTTATCTTCTCTTATCTTTCTTTCTTACTGATAGACCCGGGTGCTCATACCACTTGCGCGCAATCATCGGGATGTGAGGGTTTGCAAGGTCCCCCATGACACCGTGATTATAACAGAACTGAATGCCTCCCTCTCAGAGGACATTATTTTTTTTTCTTCTCCCTTGCGGAGCCTGAGTCACCTCCCTCTCAGAGGCTGATACGGCACTCAACTGAGATTATTCTTATAAGTTCCTCTTGACTTATTAAGGTGTATGCAGTATGACACGGCATCGCATACGATACTTAAGGCATAAACATGCATATATAACATGTGTAACTTTTTCTTTAAAATCTATTCATGTTGTAGGCGAGATTCCTACTTACCTGATTTACAGAGCTGGAATCCACTTTTGGCCAAACAGTCTATTCTCTTACTTGCTTACTTCTGAAAATGAACACCCATTGAAAGTGTAAGATTAACTGTCATTTGCTATTCTATTTTAGCAGCTTCGGAAGGAAATCTAACTCTTTCCTTAATGTATGTATTCCTCTCCTTTACTGAAGGATAATTTACTATAAGGATCCATTTATCAAATCCTTAAAATCTTATTTTCCTTAATTGCCCTTAACATACATATGTCTAGGTTGAAAATCAATTACCCAATCTAGTAACTTATTCTCCATAATTTTTCTCATTGGACTTATTATGATATTAAGGCCCAATTCGGCCTAGAAACTTATTTTCGACATTCTAACTCTTAGGCCGCTAAAATTTAAACTCAACTGGGTCACTTGAATTAATGCGGGCATTGGGCCCACATCCAACCTTTGTAATTCTAAGGACCTAACGTATTGGGCTCGTAGGTGCCCGTCGGGATGATTTGCTCGAAAAACTATTAAGCTTTTAAAAGAAACTATCATTGGATTTTTATAAAACTGATTACTCACTTATTTAGTTACAAGCACTAAAATCCCATTATAAAATCTCTTTTCGACTACCGACTTTTGAAACTATTCCACAAGTCATTTTACGGTTAATTTGTAAACCATCGTGAAACTATGTTGTAGAAACCCTTTTTTTTTTAAAAATCTTTCTTCACGGCTATTCCTCATTCAAGTGAGGTCTAAAACCATAGTATTTTACTGAAATCACATCTCAGGTTCTTTGATAACCTTTTGTTAAAAACTAACACTGTTTTAGTTTTGTTTAGT